CTAGATAGCTAGCTACCTAGGCGGCGGAAATCTGCCTGTCTAGGCAGAGAGAGCTGCCAGGATGGCGACCAAACCGGCAGTTAGAATGCTGGGAACGGCAGCACCTGCAGAGCTGGTTACAACAGGATCCTTCAGATCTTCTTCCGTCATACTTTTTAAATCAGTTGTGCGTTCCTTAAGTTCCTTGAAGTACTCTTCGCTGCAAGAAAGCGAAACAAACAGACAGAAAGAGTACATCTCCAGTTGGTGTAGATGTTCGCGTCTAACGTTTGATGTACGAACCAAAACGCAAGCTTACCTAAAGGCGGCCTTGTTCTCTGTTGCTCCAGGACTCAATTCACAGAAAAGTACAGCCGTCGTTGCTGTTCTTGGTTGTGCCTTGCCTTGTGCTTCAAGACTATTGTCCACACACTTTCCAATGACGCATCCTATTTTAGTGCTGTCGGCACCTAGAAGGTGCATCAGGCTGCGAGCCTTTTCCTTCTGCCATATCGGTTTCCACGCATCTGCATCCGCCGGGTAGTCTGCACTGTTGCAGAACAAACATTCAGTGCAGCCTAACAAATGTGTAATGATTTGAATATGGGTGAGAAAGCAGCGACAGTAGCATGGTAGATTTGGTATCTACCATCGCTGTCGCCTTGTTTTTCTTAGAAGGCAGGTGGATGCTGCGTGTAGCTAAGATGAATATTGCATCCGCTTACCCGAAATCTTGCAGTCCGGCTTCGAGGGCATCCTGCACCAGTTTACGGTAGTCAAGTTCTTCTGTATATTCGAAAGTGTGATGGAACAGCTTCTTCTGCACATCCAACACAAGAACAAAACGACAAAACAGCCTTCTTATGTTCAGTCTGTCTCAGAAAATCATAGAAATGAATGCATAATTTGTCGTGTCTGATAACGGTCCTTAGGGTCGAGACCTGTTGTTGATGCTGGGACAGCAGTAGTCGTAGCATCACCATGTACACCTGCTCTTTATAGTTTATGCGCTCACAAGCTCGTCTGTCATCAACGTCGAGCACGTCGCCTCATTGGCTTCAGTTTCCTTTCCTACTTTACCCTCCAAGCCGGTGACAAGCTGGGGATCCTTTTCGACGGTGTTGGTCTTAACTGTAATTTTTCCATTACGGGCCAACTTTGCAGTTAAGTAAGCGTCTGCAGAGAACAAATACGGACAGGAAAGTCAATGTGGAATGCAGCGACCTCCATCTGACTCAGCTGAGTAGTCGACGGCTTGCAATCAAACCAGACGTGGGAAAACACAAGGAATGTCAGAGTTATAAGCGGCAAAATGTTTACCTTCTTCTACGTGGGCTACCTTAAAAACATATTTTTTTTCGGCGGTAGCCCCGGATTGAAACCAGCACAGCCCGACTAGGCAAAATGCTGCTACGGTCTTGTAGAGGGGAGCCATTGCGACGGAACTCAGGAGATAATATTTTTAAAAAATGTTTCCTCAGCAAGAGAAACGTAGAGATTCAAATTGAGGAGAGGGGAAAAGACGGCAAGCAGTTCGGAGTTCTTTGCGTGGTCCTCCAGTCGCGTGAAGAGCGAATGGCAAAAAGACGGGACAGCAAAGCCAAAATTGCAAACAAAAGATAAAATTAAATATAATTAATATTGAGCAAAAATAAAACAAACAGAAATTGTTGTGAAAATGTTGTGTGTCCTGGCCTCGTACCTGTTGATTGAGGTTCCTACCGGTCCCGGTGTGCACCACCCCCCGCCAGCGACCGTTGGACTCCAGCGCGCACCAGCCAGCACCCGCTTGTGAAATACACCGAACAGGAAAAAAAAAGAAAGAATATATATGTAATTTTTTATTTGTTTATGAATAAATCACGTTGATTGGTACATTTCATCGGGGGAAAGACGCCAGTTGCAGGGTGAATATTTCTGCATCTCTCATCCACGGATGAGCAGGGTGCAACACCCTGCATGAATAAATATTGCTTAGAACAGATCAATAAATAGCTGAATATGAACTAAATATGAAAGAAATATTCACTGTACAAACAATTCTGCAACTTGGTGCATCCACTGCAACAAAAATAAGATATATTGTTTGGTTTCTGTATAGATATCCACCAGACCGCCAACTCACCCCTTGCATCGTGGGGTTTCATGCAGAGTTCTTTTAATGAAATGATTCCTATCTATAGAGTTTTATATATGTCATTCGGTTTATTGTATACTGTGTGTTGTCCGTAACACACTTGTAGGCATTAGATTTTCCCTCGTATCAAGTAGAAACATTAGAGTGGCCGTAATGAGAACGAAACCAGGGATGAAACTGAGGTAGTACCACGCGAGAACAACGAAATTCTGAAAGTTTCTGCGAGTGCACAGAGGTAACACCCACGTCACTTTGCTGGATATGTTGAGGCGCCTGCTGCAGAAGCACGAGCCGCCACACCCCCTCACCTCTCACCCCTGTAAGCAACACGAATTGCCTACTTGCACAGCAACCGCTTTTGTGGTTTCACGAGCCACTGCTTCTCACATAGGAGTTTTAGAGCACCATGAAGGAGCTGGATGTGCTCCTGAACATTCTTGCTGAGCAGAAGTGCACGATGCATTCATATACCTATCCAAACCAACCACAGCTTACTGAGTGACTCTAGCAATTCAAGATAGCGCTCCCGCTGCAGTGCAGCCCGAAATCCTAAACATTAAACCCTAAACCCTTGTTTTCTAAGTTTAATACCAAGAGTAGACACCTCTGAGTTTTAATTTCGTCGCTAAGGCTGATGGTTACCGCATGAAAACTGCAGATTCATCCATCAGTTTAGAGAGAATACAGAAGTATTCTACTTTGCGAGTGTGGGTGTCGTCGAGATGAATCTTGATCTAAGTAAACGCATAAACCAAACTAAATTATAAATAGAATCATGAATTCCAGAAATAGTCAAAAAAATTCAAATATCAGTTGCTTTGGTTTCCTTTGGTTTCGTTCGTCTTGCTTGAACTCAACGCACACCAACCAGCCCCCGCCCTTTCTTTTCTTCTTCAGCATTATATTGTTTGTAATTGTGCTGGCCAACGGTTTCACATTGTCTTTTTCCTCGTAGGTATTTGTCTATCTGTATAGTGATTACAACATGTAGGGGTTAATGCCACCTTAGAGCAAAGCTCGAAGCTGCACCGGTTTAGGGTTTAGGGTTTAGGGT